TCACTGATAGTGTTCATGATGTGTTCATGATAACGCCAACAACATGTAAAAAAAATCGAACATACAGAGAATTTAGTTTTATGATAGTGATCGTTCAACGGGAACGTATAGGTGGCACCCAAATATTCTGGTTTACCGATAATCTTTGAGAATTGAGCCTTTTGAGGTGAAAATATTCGATAGGCTTTCGGGAACGGAGCAAACCAGCCAAACAAACTGAACGGTTGATCGAACACCGATCGAAGACTCAATGGTGAGACAATTACGAATTGTGGTATTGTAACCTGCAAATGAACTCTACAAAGTTACTTAGTCCGGCAGTGTATCGTTAAACTTCGCCTCTAATTCAACTCAATTGATTCATTTCTATCGCAAATTGAAAAGTTGCGTTTTTATCGCTCACTTGTGTCAATGCACAGAATCAATGAAGTTCAAAGACCTAAACGACAGATGTTTCAGCTTGAAATTTTTCGAAGAACGGTGGATTTCGAAGAACTGACGGTATCGCTAAAAGAATTGATCTCATGATGCTTATCAAATTTGCACTGAATTTTTTCAGCAGTAATGCTATTGTGAATTCAGAGCGAAGAAATAAAACCTTGTGTTGTTCACTCTCAAATGGGAGTTCATCAATGAAATGTTGTACGTGTTCGCTTTTCAATTTTTTCATAAATTTACTGGTGAATTCTTCTTTCGTAGGTTGAAATATATACCTAAATTTCGAAAATTCAACAAATTATTCGACCACCTCTCGTTAGCGTCCAAAAGCGCTGAATGATCAAGAAGGAACATTTTGAATGAGATCGATGCGAACACGCAAAATTGAGTAGTGCAGTTATAAAGTTATAAAATTGAACGAGCAATCAGAAGCGCAAGATAGTTGCTGTGCTCATGGAACGTACATTTTCAGGTTTGGAATTTCAGAATCCAGTTCCACTACTCGCACGCCTCGAGTCGTTAGACACGTTCTGAACGAGCCATCACAACAATACGTTTTCACCTGAAATGTCGCGAGTAAATACCATTTTCGGGATATATGAATTTGAAATCAACAACAGCCCGAATAGTAACATTCAAGATGTGTATAAGAACACTGAATGAACAATTGATATCTTCAAGCATTGTTTGCAGTATCGATGCGTGAGTTGATAGCAATTCGAGAACAAAATGCAGAGACTAACTGACCACTGAGCGATATTTTGGATCTTTGGTGTAACTTTCGTAGAAATTCAATATCTTGACGTCGACTCGTGCCGGTGTATGCCAGTAGAACGTGCCATCGAATGTTGTCACTAGTGAAAGTCGACTACGCCAGTTTGGAGGCATATCGTGACGTATCGCATACTGGATGCGTCCTTTTGAGGCCTTCTGAAATCACATTCACTTGTAACAGCATTCAATCGAAAGATTACTAAGTAAATGAAAAACACCCTTCATATGCGTCAAATATTTTCCCTCAAGTCCTTCAAAGTATTTTATTATAATGCAAAGTCTAAATGGAATCACGAGTAACAAAATAAAGGTGAACGATCAAAAATGGCTATTTTGAATCAACTCTGCTGCTGAATTTTGAGCAGTGAAGCGGTAACTGCATTGAGTGCTTAATCGTGCCAAAAATCGGGAATTTGCATAAATTTCTCAGGGCATAACGGGTTTTCACTCGATCAGCAAGCTTGAGTTGAATTGAATTGTTTCGGTACCAACCAGCATGTCGCGTTCCATCGTTGCAACGGTGGTATTTCCAGTGGGATTCATTACGAAGCACATCGGATTTATCACTCGTCTCTTATCGTTCTCTTCCTCAGATTCCGTTTCTTTTTCTGGTTTCTTCTTAAACATTACTCAAATCGCTCACCAAGTCAGTTCATTACGGTGCATTAGCGTGCGTCAACTTTTTTCGTCAAGAAGGTCCATCATAAATATTTTACACAGCTGGTGAAATATGCATATCAGTAAACTAAGATATCACCTTTATGTGATTATTACAGGTTTTGCGACAGAACTTCAAAAAAATTGTTTGTATTTCTGAAATATTCATAAACATTTGCGAAAAATCACGACCAATTTTTGTTTTGGTCACTTGCAATCCAAACTTATAAATTCTTCAGTTAGTAGTGAAAATAATTTTGGACAATTTCCACTAATCTTTTCTCCAGATATTTTGAATTAACTAACCTTCTCCAGATATTTTGAATCAACTACTT